TTAGAAAGTTTTTGTGCCTTTGTGCCTTACATAGAATAGTATATGCACAATATAGAATTTGAATCAGCCTCGTCAAAGATGGCAGTGTCAGAGCCGATACCGATCCTGAGTATCTAATCGGCGCACTTCTTTTCAACAGTCAAATTGAAATTGAAATTGCTTGAAACTCAACAGATACATCACATTTATTAGCCAGTAGACGTGCAAAGTTTCAGAAACGGGCATGGTGCAAGGACTAAATAGCGCCACCTTTTGACAAAAGTGGGGTTGTTAGTTTTATCTACAGTTACAAAAATCGGTATATACATTGTACTCCTCAAGCCGGACAACTTTCTAATACATAGTCATTAGCTCGGACCAAGAGGAAGTCAGATATTTTGGTTTGAATATGGTGAGCCTCTCTCTGAGCCTACGTCCCTGTATGGCAAGCCCTTTTAACATTTAAAAGCTAAGTTTGCCTGTCCGGAATTAACATTGTAGATATCAACAACGTCTTTCTGTCTATTCGTAATTACATTTTGGATAGTTTGTATTATCATTTAAGATATCTGTAACATAATTGTGACTAGTCGAAATGACAGAGTATGGCAAGCCGTTTTAACATTTAATCATAAAAGGGCCAAAGCCTTCGGCACCGCCACCCGGGTGCCTTTAGGTAACTAAAGGAACCGGGGTTGCGGTGCCACCGGCTTGGGCCCGCCATCGCTGCTCGCAGCTATATTTATTATTATTATTTATTTTTCTTACGACTATTCGGGCACTTTTGGGGCCCTTAACATGCTCGAAAACTCTTGAAACTTTGCACACGGGTCAGAACCCGCGGCCATCAGAGCCGGGCTGAAGATGGTACCCGGGCGTGGCAGGGGGCTCGTCAGCGCCCCCTGGAACGGGGTCCGAACACTTGGTCCATAACTCAAACACGCTTGCATGTAATAATATGAAACTCGGTACACATGTTGATCTCATCGTTTCATCTATACCTCCCTTTTACTTTTTACCCCAGCCCAACAGGAAGTCGGCTATTGAGGTTTGTTTGTAAAACGCTCGCAATGGAATTTGAAATACTCCTCCTAGAGCTTTGATCCAAATTCGACGAAACTCGGTCAGCGTGAAGTCAAGACATTGAGGATGAAATTTTGCGAGGGGATTTTTGATATCTCGAACGGTTTGGCCGTGGCGAGGAAACGAAATCATGGCGAGAAACGTGAAACAGGAAGTGTGTTATAACTTCAGCATACATTAACTGATCTTGATGAAACTTCAGCAGTGTGTTCGCTGTAAGAGGACGATCACATGGATGTGACTATTGTGAGTCAAAGTTATAGCGCCACCAACTGGCAGCAGGAAGTGTGTCACTTTCAAAATGCTTTGATATCACCCTTTTATTTTTACCCGATTTGCTTCAAACTTCATCTGTATAATGTAAACATACGGCAGATGTAGACCTGTGAATGGATTCTTGATATCTTTGAAACTGTTGCCGTGGCAACGCATCAAACTTTACCATTCTTTTAGGATGCTTTTGAGACTCTTAGCATGCTTTAAATTGCATGAAACTCGACAGACACATCACATTTATTAGCCAGTAGACATGTGCAAAGTTTCAGAAACGGGCGTGGTGAGGGCTCAGTAGCGCCACCTTTTGACAAAAGTGGGGTTGTTAGTTTTATCTACAGTTACAAAAATCGGTATGTATATTGTACTCCTCGAGCCGGACAACTTTCTAATTGACACTCATTAGCTAGGACCCACACAAAGTCAGATATGTTTGTTTGAATGTAGAGAAAATCTCAGAATTTTGCCAGTCTCTCAGTGTCCCTCTGTGTGAGTGAGAGGAGGGGCGCCTGTCAGGTTAATTTTATCCCTTTATTTGCTGTGTGCGACTTCTCTGGCATTTTCGGGGGCCTTAACATCCTCGAAAACTCTTGAAACTTTGCACACGGGTCAGAACCCATGGCCATCAGGGCCGGGCTGAAGCTGGTAACCGGGCGTGGCAGGGCGGCTCAACAGCGCCCCCTGGACTGGGATTCGAACATTTGTCCATAGATCAAACACACTTGCATGAATTAATATGAAACTCGGTACAATTATAGATCACATCAGGCCAAACAACTTTCGTGCTCTAAGTTTTATGACAGTTCAAATGGAAGTTATTTATGAATTATGAATTATGGGTTGTTTGAATAATTGTCCTAGGAGAAATACATCAAATTACAATGCATGCATGTGTTATCACAACCAAACTCGGTGTGCATGAAGTCAAGACATTGAGGATGCTCAATTCCGGACGGATTTTTGATATCTCGAACGGTCTGGCCGTGGCGAGGAAATGAATTTTATGACTAAAAAAGGACACATAAAGTGTTTTATAACTTTGCTCAATTTACCTACAGTTACAAAACTTACCATGTATATTGTTCTCGTCAAGCCGATCAACTTTCCAATTTAAAGTCATTCGCTCTGAGCAACAGAAAGTCAGATATTGTATTTTGAATGGATTTATTTCCCCTGCGATTCTCTCTCTCTCTCTCTCTCTCTCTCTCTCTCTCTCTCTCTCTCTCTCTCTCTCTCTCTCTCTGTGTGTGTGTGTGGGTGTGGGTGTCTGTGTGGGGAGGGGAGGGCTGTTGTCTGTGTTTTTGTGTGTGTGTGTGTGGCTGGCTGCGATTTTTCCTACAAGTCCTTGTCTCTAAGTCCTTGTCTTTTTGCATAACAATTTTGCATAACAATATTTTTAAATGACAAAATAGGCATATAACCCCCATCTTTTAAATGTATAGTTTGCTTTAAATAAAAGTAAGTTTGTATTTGTAATTGAAGTTGAATGAATTTAAAATGCATGTGCTATATTTCAATATATTTGTTTTCCTTAAGATTTTAAAACACTAACTTCATTCTTATCTGAATTACAAATATTTGTTTCTGTATAAAATAATACTCTGACTAAAAACACATTTGATGTTTTTTTTTGTATTTTTATTTACATGTATTTGTGTGTGTGTGTGTGTGTGTATAAAGTGCAGGGTTTTTTTAGATAAAGTAAAATTTCTATAACTATGTGTTGAACTAATAAATCACTCTTGTGTGTGTTAAACACAATCTACTTAATACAGACAACTTCATTATAAAGATAAATAACAAATCCAAAAAATATATGATTATAATCTATGACAAAAAAGCCATTACAAACTATATTAATGGAAAATACACATTGCTCTTTGTATTGTTGTAAAATATTAATGAAAAACAAGATAACAAAAATTTAAAAAGATAAATTATTTTAGATATAGCCATGTTTTAAATTTATAGCAGAGATGTTAATTGAGGCAGCAACATACAAACTTTCTAGAACAACATGGACCTGGATAGCTGTTTTTTATGGAGGACAGTGAAGAGGAAGAGGGTGCAAATCAAACAGCTCATTCTCAGACTACACAGCAAACAGCTTAAGTTTTTAGTGCTTTGTTTGAGGTTTTTAGTGCTCTGTCCTATCTATTATCAACATATAATAGATGGAACAGAACAAGAAAGGCAATTAATAAGCTGTCTTTGCTTCACTGCATTATGATATGAAAGGCTCAGTACAGTGTGGCACAAAACGCTTATGCGCATCCCGAGTGGAGAATGATGCGCTTAATGCCACATGGAGTTACAGCGCACAGCGCATCGAGTCCGCATTGATGCAAGCTCTACAATACACTTCTTTTTGATAGTCAAAGCGGGGGTTACGTTTTTACACGTCGTACAGAATAACCCTAAAGGCACCAAGGTGGCGGTGCCACCGGCTTTATATTAAATATAAATATAGCTGTGAGCAGCGATAAAGGGCCAAAGCCGGCGGTACCACCGTCCCGGTGCCTTTGGGTAACTAAAGGCATCGGGGTTGCGGTGCCACCGGCTTGGGCCCGCAATCGCTGCTCGCAGCTATATTTTAATTTGATATTTTCGATATTGGGCATTAATAACAATCCTCCAATTACTTTTTAATGCTTGTGTTTCCAGAAGTCAAGAGGCTAAATTCCTCCAGTTAGAGCTTTTCTCTTAAAGGATATATTTTCTGTCACATGTTTTACTTGATCTCCCAAACTGCACTCTCTACACTGCACAAAAATCCCTTTTGTGCTGATGATTTGAAAAACCCAGACAAACATGCATGGTGGAGTTTAGTTTCGGATTTAATTAATTATATTACTCTCCACATTAAGTGTGACAGGTAAGAATAAAGTGATTTTAGTTCATAAAGTTATAAAAACATTAGACCGTTTCCAGGAGGTACACATACTGTAATGTTACATACAAAAATAAGTTATCAATGAAATAAATTAATTCAGCAAATAAGTGTAATTGTACTAAAATGTAAATGTTGGACAATAAATATATAACAGCAATAGAATAGTTTTACAGTAAACTTTTTTTTCAGTATTATCTTATATTAATGACCGTTAAAGCAAGACTATGTAAACAAAAAAACACAGCTACTGTTCAAAGTGCCAATTAAAGTTTTAGGATAACGGACACAGCAATGCATCATGTTCTATAAGATCATCATGTTTGTAGCATGATCCGGGCGATTAAAACGTACATTTATATTTCAGTCCTAGTGGAGTTGGTAACTAATAATAGTAGTAAAGGTGTTAAGTTGCATAAAATGGAAATACTCACTAATGCAAGAAAAAACGACCTCAAAAAACTGTTATTTGTGCGGTTGTCCAGTAACTCCAGTTGTAATTTTCACCCCAAAATGGCAGCCGCGCTACCAAAGCGCCACCTGGTGGCTGTTACCAAAAAAGCATCAGAGTTTCGCCTCTTGTTCTTCTATACTCTTTGGTTAAGTTCTCGAGCGTCCATGTCTTACGCGCTTCTCTTGTGTAAAAGTTCAAAAAAGCTTGACATTTGTCATAATTATATATTATTTAATAATATTATATATTATTTATAAAATTAATTTACATTTGTTAAAATATTGATCTACTGTAGGAATTAATTTGTCCCTCGATGCAAGCCAATGTCAACTGTGTGTGTGTGTGTGTGTGTGTGTGTGTTCTAGTGTGGATCACGGTTCAGAAGTTAAAGAGTTCATGATGACATCAAGACTACACAGATGTAAGTCCTCAAACACAGTTTTAGTGTGTGTTGTTGGAAATGTTGCTGTTGTATGTAATGCGTGTTCTTGTGTTCAGACGCCGTTGATCTCACACTGGATCTCACACTGGATCCAAACACGGCACACACTCGTCTCGCTCTGTCTGAGGAGAACAGAAAGGTGACGCATATGAGAGAAAGTCAGTCGTATCCTGATCATCCAGACAGATTTGAGTATGATCCTCTGGTTCTGTGTAGAGAGAGTCTGACTGGACGCTGTTACTGGGAGGCTGAATGGAGTGGAGATAAAACTGATATATCAGTGTCATATAAACGAATCAAGAGGAAAGGAGGGATGTGGTTTGGGAATAATCTGATATCCTGGAGTCTTGAACGCAAAGATAGCGAACTCATTGCCTGGTACAATTGTAACCCCACTTATATTCCTGTTTCAGGCAGTAAGAGAGTAGGAGTGTTTCTGGACGAGTCGGCCGGCACTCTGTCCTTCTACAGCGTCTCTGACACACACACACTCACACACTTACACACATTCACACACACATTCACTGAACCACTCTATGCTGGATTTAGACTTTATCATATTAACTCTTCAGTGTCTCTGTGTCAGATTCAAAGAAAATGTGGAACCATTTAACAATTTCTCAAGTTAAATTTTTGAAACACACACACACACTGAATTAACACTTGTCCAGTTGTTTGACTGATTGTGTGTTACTGCATGATCACCATTGTTGATATTCATAGACTTTATTTGTACACAATGTGTTATTAAAATCCTTCAGATGATCTGATTAAAACTGCTGGATCTCAGAGGATTATTATAATCAATAATGTGAAATGAATAACACATCATCTATATAATCATGGAGATAACTGTAAATGAATATGAATCTTATGTCAGCTCCAGTATTTCTCTGTTAATTGACATGTTTTATTCCAGTTTAATGATGTTATTGTAGTTTATGGTCAATAAGCGCTTGTTCCTGGTTCAGTGTGAACATGTTTCTTCAGTTGTTGATGTTTGACTGTTATTTTCATTCATGATAAATATTTGTCACCCTGAGTTTCACTGTTTTTACACGTTTGCTTTTTAATGTTCGCTTAAATTTGTTCAGGAACTAGAGCAAAAAAAACTTGTGATGCAAAACAAGATACATTTGTATCAATATGAGACATTTATTTGAATATATCACTAGATGAAATTCATGAGAACATAATAAGAGAATTACGAGTATGAGCTTCATTGACTTCAATGGATTTAATTTCATTCATTTTAAACTTATAACTCATGACTTCTGAAAACTGTCTAAATTTATGAAACCTACATATTCTCTTTGCAACAAAACAACATCACTATCACTCAGTAAAATTAATATTTTGTTTGTAAACATTTCATTAATAAACTTTTACTTCCATATGAAAAAATAATGAGGATAAACAGCTTGAATATTTTCATGCAATGATTCATCAATAGGTGGCAGCAAAAATGGGAAATGTGTGTGTGTGTGTGTGTGTGTGTGTGTGCGTGCGTGCGTGCGTGCGTGCGTGAGTGCGTGCGTGCGTGTGTGTGTGTGTGTGTGTGTGTGAAATGTGTGTGTGTGTGTAGAAAAGAGGCTAAATGTATTTTACAGAATTAACTTGACACAAATCTAAGCAATAGATGGAAACATCAGCATAATTATATGTGTTGTTGGTAAAGCTACAGTTCACTTTCAGGGCGATACAGAGCCGACTGCAAAAGCCACAGTTTAATGGTTAATATTTCATTAGTAGATTTATTTTTTACAGCCAGTTTTGATCATATTTACTAGGGGTTCCATCAATTTTGACCATGACTGTATATATATATACAGTGCCCTCCACAATTATTGGCACCCCTGTTTAAGATGTGGTCGAGGACTTTTAAAAATTCTCCCTTTTTTTAAACAACATAGAATCCAAATGCAAAAAAAGAGAAAAATCCAACCTTTTATTTAAGTACATTACTTTGGTGGTAAAAAAAAAATTAAAAATTAAAAAAAATAAAAACTTCAAATCATGTGTCCCACAATTATTGGCACCCCTGATGTTAATACTTTGTACAACCCCCTTTTGCCAACAAGACAGCACTTAATCTCCTCCTATAACATTTCACAAGATTGAAGAACACAGAGAGAGGGATCTTTGACCATTCTTCTTTGCAAAATCTTTCTAGATCATCCAGTATCCTGGGCCCTCTCTTGTGCACTCTCCTCTTTAGCTCACCCCACAGGTTTTCGATTGGATTGAGGTCTGGGGACTGAGATGGCCATGGGAGGACCTTGAGTTTGTGACTGAACCATTTTTGTGTAGATTTTGCCACACGTTTTGGATCATTATCCTGCTGAAAGACCCAATGACGACCCATCTTCAGCTTTCTGGCAGAGGCCATCAGGTTTTTATTTAAAATGTCCTGGTAGTTCAAAGCGTTCATAATGCCATGCACCCTAACAAGGTTCCCAGGGCCTTTGGAAGAGAAACAGGCCCACAGCATCACAGATCCTCCACCATACTTCACGGTGGGCATGAGGTACTTTTCGGCATACACATCTTTTGTTTTACACCAGATCCACTTAGAGTGTTTGTTGCCAAAAAGCTCAATCTTAGTCTCATCCGACCAAAGCATACGATCCCAGATGAAGTCCCAGTGCCGCTTGGCAAACTCCAGACGTTTACGTTTGTCAGTGTTAGTGAGAAAAGGCTTTTTCCTAGCATGCCTCCCAAACATCTTGTTGGCATGTAGAGAGCGTCTGATGGTTGTTTTGGAGATTTTGTGACCCCAAGATGCCACTATTTGATGCAATTCTGTGACAGTGAGCTTAGGACTTTTTTTTACTTTTCTTAGCATCCTCCTCAGTGCGTTGTGGCAAGATAAACTTGGGACCTCTTTCAGCCTTGTTTGTCACTGTTCCTGTTGTTTTAAACTTCTTAATGATTCCTCTAACTTTAGATATGGGCAATATAAGGTGAGTGGCTATTTTCTTGTAGCCATTGCCTGACTTATAAAGGTCATCACACATCTGCCTTACTTGAATGGTGTGTTCTCTTGTCTTTGCCATGTTGACAAATGGGTAAGAGAATTAGGCCTCTGTGTCATGTCATATTTATACCCCAGGGAAATAGGAAGTCATGAATTACTAATTAAAAGTTCCTAGATATCCTGACCAACATTAGCAACTACAGAAAATATTTTTTTTTTTAAAAATCAATTACATTTTTCAGCGGAATTGTTAGGGGTGCCAATAATTGTGGGACACAGGATTTGAAGTTTTTATTTTTCTAAATTTTTACATTTTTTTTTACCACCAAAGTAATGTACTTGAATAAAAGGTTGGATTTTTCTCTTTTTTTGCATTTGGGTTCTATGTTGTTTAAAAAAAAGGGAGAATTTTTAAAAGTCCTCAACCACATCTTAAACAGGGGTGCCAATAATTGTGGAGGGCACTGTATATATATATATATATATATATATATGACAGTCTTTACAAATCTACAAAATTCCAGCCGAATGCAAGAGTTTAGACAGACGTTTCAATAGAGTCTCTGATTTCAACTCTAGTTTAGTTTAAAGAGTTTAATGAATGTAAATGATGATTCTCCCTTGCATGTATTTAGTTAAAGACAGTAAAACAAAGTAATTTCAGAAAAACTCCATGAAGGAAGATGAATATTTAATATTGTAAAAGGCTGAAAAACTTTTAAAGGATCAGCTCTGTTCTGTTCTTTATTGACTTGATTTTGTAGTTAGAATTTAAAGAGACCAGTCAGCTTCAGTGTTGCTCGCACGGCTCTCTGGGAGTGACATATATATAATATTTAGAAGCAGTGGACGATCACACAGGCCTCCTCCAGTTTGAAGGACTCGTCATCTTCACAGAGGAACTCCACCAGAGTCTTGCTGTTCTTCTGTGTGTTTTCCAGCTCATCCTGAGCCTCCGTCAGCCTCACCGCACAGCCTGAAGGAAGAAGTGATGGACTCACACGCTGAACAGGAGCATCAGCATCTGTGAACATGATCTGGACACACACACTTCTCTAGAAATGTTCTGGTCTGCATCTGGATCTCAGCATCTGCCTGAGCTCGGACTCTGAGCTCTGAGACTCGGCTTTGTAGTCGAGAAAGATCCTCCAACACACACTCTTCTGACGACCTGACTCAAGCGGCTGGGAAACATCAGCAAGTCTTTCTCCTTCTTCACAGACTCCTGTAGTAAGGAGAAGAAAGATCACTCACGCTGAATTTGATTCAGAATTCTGTCCAACTGATTCTATTCCATCATAATGACATCATCTTGTAGTTTCATTTAATTTGAAGTGGCGTAATGAAAGCATCTCTGGAACTCCACTCCAATGGTTCGAGTCTTACCTCACAGGTAGGTCCTTTAGGGTGTCGTGGAGAGGTGTGGCATCTAATGGCGCTTTTTCCACTGCATGGTACGGTTTGGTTTGGTACGGCACGCTTTGGCGCTTTTCCACTGCATAGAATAGTACGGCTCGGTACGGCTCACTTGTGGCGCTATTGGTAACACTTTAGAATACGGTTCCTTCGTTAATGAATAACTACACAAGAACTAATGAGTAACACAATATTAACAATCTAGTAACTATTATTAACTAACAAGAAACTCTGATTAACGAACTAGTAAGTAATAGCGCACAGACGAAAGTGGTAGTTCACTATTAAGTAATCAATAACTACTATTTTTTTAATACTTCCCAGAGAACTACTGAAAAAGTTTATTAACAATCTAGTAACTACTATTAACTAAAAGAAACTCTTTTTAACGAATTAGTAAGTAATAACTCACAGATGAAAGTGTTACTAGATACTTCTGTGGGAATTACTAATTATTTGGATTCGTATTATAAAGTGAAGATCATTGGAACTAACTAGCAATTACTCAAGTGTTACTAAAGACATTTTCTAAAAGTTACTAAAGTTCACAAAAAATCTCAAACATTTGCACAAATCATGACTAGATCATGTAGTAACACTTGAGTAATTACTAGTTAGTTCCAATGATCTTCACTTTATAATACGGATCCAAATAATTAGTAATTCCCACAGAAGTATCTAGTAACACTTTCATCTGTGAGCTATTACTTACTAATTATTTGGATCCGTATTATAAAGTGAAGATTATTGGAACTAACTAGTAATGACTCAAGTGTTACTACATGATCTAGTCATGATTTGTGCAACCGTTTGAGATTTTTGGTGAACTTTAGTATAATTTTAGAAAATGTCTTTAGTAACACTTGAGTAATTACTAGTTAGTTCCAATGATCTTCACTTTATAATACGGATCCAAATAATTAGTAATTCCCACAGAAGTATCTAGTAACACTTTCATCTGTGAGCTATTACTTACTAATTCGTTAATAAGAGTTTCTTTTAGTTAATAGTAGTTACTAGATTGTTAATAAACTTTTTCAGTAGTTCTCTGGGAAGTATTAAAAAATAGTAGTTATTGATTACTTAATAGTGAACTACCACTTTCGTCTGTGCGCTATTACTTACTAGTTCGTTAATCAGAGTTTCTTGTTAGTTACTAGATTGTTAATATTGTGTTACTCGTTAGTTCTTGTGTAGTTATCCATTAACGAAGGAACCGTATTCTAAAGTGTTACCGCGCTTTTCCACTGCATGGTACGGTACAGTACGGCTCGCTTCGGCTCGCTTAAAATGGTACCTGGTCTGTTGAGGTTCCAAGCGTACCGTACCGATACTAAAATGTGACGTGATACACTGCAGATCACTGATTGGTCAGACAGAATCGTCACTACCAGCGGCATTGTATTTGCGACCAATAGACATCGACACAAGAAACCAAACCCGCTAGATTTAAATAGCCAGTAAATGCCACCGCTGTTATCTATCAGTCTATAATCCCACCCACTTTAAAGCGGTACTAACTGCAGTGGAAAAGCAACCGAGCTAAAGCGAACCGAGCCATGCCGTGCCGTGCCGTACCAGGCAGTGGAAAAGCGAAGTGAGCCAAACCATGCCGTGCCGCGCCGAACCGTACTGACCCGTACCGAGCCGTACCAGCAGTGGAAAAGCACCATAAGACCCAACATCTAGCTACTGGGGTGCATCAAGGCTCAGTGCTTGGACCACTCCTCTTCCCCATCTACATGACATCACTAGGATCTGTGATTCAGAAACATGGCTTTTCCTATCATTGCTACTCTGATGACACGCAACTCTACCTCTCATTACAGCCTGACGACCCTGCTCGTATCTCAGCCTGCCTGACAGACATTTTTGGCTGGATGGAGGACCACCACATTCAACCAAATCTTGCGAAGACAGAGCAACTTGTGATCCCGGCCAACCCAACACCACACCACAACTTCTCCATTCAGCTTGGCTTATCATCCATCACTCCTTCAAGGTCAGTTAGGAACCTTGGGGTTGTAATTGATGATCAGTTCAAATTCACAGACCACATTGCTAGAACTGCCCATTTCTGCAGATTTGCCTTGCCTTTGCCTTGCCTAGGTAACTTTTGTAAACAAATATTCTTTTTACATGTGAGTTAAAACTGTCATTATGTCCTGACAGTAGACTATGAAATCAAGCTCCTCTGGCTCCTCCCAGTGGTCCTATTGCCATTTGCAGAAATACACCACTCCCGGTCAGAAACAACCAATCAGAGCCAGGGGGAGTGTCTTAGCGGTGTCAATCACGCTCAGGTCCGCGCTGATCACGAGAGAGCGCTCTTGCACACACGCCGTCATTCAAACCAAACTCAAGATTGCTAGTGTGCTGCAGCTGTGCTGTGCAAATGGCGAAGAAACAACCTAAACTGCCAATTTCTTGAGTGGCACCTGCTCATAAAACAAAGAAGGGTAAAAGGAATGATGACAATAAACAAGAGAAAAAGAAACAATTAGACAGAGCATACTGACTCAGTGTCAAAAATCTAGCCGCGTTACATGTAGATCAAATGTTACGCACTGTGCAAAGAAACAATTGAAACCTGTTAATTCACTGGCTTGTCATGTTACCGAAATAATATTGTGGCGATATAATATTGAGGCCGAGGGACAGGGACATGAGAGCGGCGCGAGGCCGGTGGTGTGAGTGGTAATGAACGACACCTGTGAGACGCACCGGTCTGTCTCGCATCTCTCACGGAGGAGCAGAGGCATAAAAGAGGAGTGACGATAGTGGAGAGAGGAACAGGCCTGATTTTACGTTGTGATTTTATGTTCTGTCTAGTGTGTTGTCCCTGAGGGGCTGCTGGCTTATACTTTAATTTTGTATTTGTTTATTAAACTTGTTGAACATTCGCCGGTTCCCGCCTCCTTTTCCCAAAACAACTAAACTCGTTACAAATGTACTAGCAAACCTTATCTAGCATTAGGCGTAGCCTACATATTGCTAGAATAATTACTTGAATTATATTACATGAGTTACGTTATCGTTATTTTATTTTACTAGCTATTTATAACTTATAGAAAGGGTGCAATGTTATAAAGTTAGATACATGTATTGCAAAATACTTCATGATTTGAGGACCAAGTTTGTAGTCAAAGTATGGGCAGGCCTTAGTCAATGTAAAACATGCCATATAATAAATATTATCCGCCGTCATTGGTGTCCCTGCTTACTAGCCTGTTCACGGCAGGCTCCACTGTGGAGGGAGGGCTATTAGTGCAGCAGAGAGCAAGGGGATTGGACCTGTAAGTAGTGCTTGTTCAAATTTTCAGGTTAAGTCAACATTTTCTTAGAACTCCCTACTGCAGCTTCAACTAAAGGTCTGAATGTGGTTCTGCCAGAGTCTCAATCTCAGTGCAGAAGAAGTAGGGAGAAACGGTGCAAACGAAAACAAACGAGTCTTAGTGTGATGTATATACGTTGAACTCGACCGCGAACGTTGTCAACATAACTCACTGGAAATCCAAAATACTTCCACACTAGTGACTTCAATGAAAGAGTAGGGGGTTCAAGTTCTGTCAATGGATCTCCTGCATCAGCAGTTGCCATGCTATCAGGCTTGCCCTATAGGCACTAGAGCCCATTCGACTAGAGGTATGGCCTCTGGGTTTCATTCAGGACATTTGTGCGGCTGGTTGGTCCTCGCCCTCCACATTTGTGAGGTTATATAATATGGAGATCCCTACCTGCAGTTCCTTTCTGTATGATTAGACTCGGTGAGGTCTGGTCTCATCTATGTGTCAGGTCACTGTTCATAAGCACACTATCCCTTGCTATAAACCAGCTTTGGCTGTTTTTTGCCCATATATATAATCAGACCCGAGGGTTTCCGTACTTAGTATATTATTTTGGGGTGCGAGCTTAGTGACATCACTATATGATTTAGATCCAACGGTGTCATATTTATATGTGAATTCTGGGGTCCTTGGCTTCAGTTGCAGGCAGTTATTTATGGTGCAGTATTTTACATTGTATCCATACTGCGTATAGCTGCACAATACGAAGTGACTGCTTTCGACAGGGAATGTACTTGGTTACTGTCATAACCCCTCAGTTCCCTGAGAGTAGGGAACGAGTATTGCGTAGCCTGGTAACAAGTAGTAACATGGTAAGTTGACACGTCAGCCAATTTAAACCAGTTATAAAGGCAAATTTGGGTTCCCTTTATAGGCGTCACTGATTGCTGATTGGTGCACATGTCAATGGTGCCTTCACCATTGGATGCGCAGTTGCTGCAGCACAGCCAATCAGTGAGTAAGTCACTCTCTGTGCTCACTGTGCAGTTTCAATGCGTTTTACATATAAGCTTCAGTAAATCTCGGGAAAGGAGTTTCCCCCTCTGTGTATAGCTACGCAACACTCATTCCCTACTCTCAGGGAACCATGGTTACAATAGTAACCGAGTACGACATCAGTACTGGAAATGAATATATTATTTTTTGCATGCATTTTTTCTCACCTGTTGAAATGAGGAATGTTCTCTCTCCTGACAAAATCAAGCCAGGTTAACAAAAGATACACGCCACTATATACAGAGAAATCTATTTACACAACATGGAGAAGAAACAACCTCGTCGCTGAGGTGAGCAAATGAACCACAGTGAGTGATCGCAGCTGAAACTGAGGTGAGAGAAACATTCAGAGATTCAGTGTTCAGAGGCTCTCACTCCGTATACAGCTGTGCAGGAGAGATGCCGAGGAAAATCACTGAGTTTTTTCATCCAGCATGTGCCGAGAGCTGATTATTCCTTCACCCTGTACACAACTGGAGTAAAAAAGACAGAATGATGTGCTTTAATGTGTCTGAACGAAACACTCTGGGCTTTGGAGGAGCTAAATGGCAGGAACAGGTGGTCAAATTCACTGAATCATAAGAGGGATTTGAGTGCTGATGAAAATGAACTTTGGGACAGTTGTCATCAGTGCGGGTCTCTGTGGGCTGCTCAGTTTCATCCTGCTCGCCGTGTCCATTGCCACTGATTACTGGTACATTATAGATGTGGATAAAGGGACGAACTCCAGCCTGGAATACAGCAGCTCTCACTCCGGACTCTGGAGGATTTATGAAGGTAAGATGCTCAACACACACAACTTACACTCAGTTTTATGTCAATTGTATTGTGCAGCTGCTGTACACATTTATATTCTTCCAATATTTGTGTATATCCAGACTCATTTCTCACTATACACAGATATATGCATAGACATTTACATTAGGCTAAATACTATTACATTTGTTCATGGCCATATTAATCTAACATGTAGTGACATTTAATGTGTGTAAGACATTTCATATATAATAGGTGTCACCACAACTCCTTTCTCTTACTGTTTAGCTAGTCATTTTATTTGCCTCAATAGATTCATTTTTTTTTTTATCTCATTTTAATAGCAGCAAATAAACTGCCAAATGTTTCTAATGGTGGCAAAGAAAGTCATTTCTCAAATGTTCACAGATTCAGTCCTCATCACTGGCTGAGGCTCCATTATGTACATAATTAATGTCTCGTCCAATTGTGTAGCAGTTTTATGGCACGAGAGACTAATAAAAAGAGACGCAGTTCATCACAGAACTGTAAATGTTTAATGTTACACACGTTGTGATGACAATTACTAAATCTGACGTATGAAAGGAGTGTTTTACATCTAATTCTAATTTCTGTTACAACAATGTCTTCCCTCTTGCGCAAATTCTGCTTTTCCTTTTTACGAAAATACTTCTTTAAATTATATTGTGTGCCTTGAACTTCTAGGCTGTAATAGAATTGCCAAGAAAGGAAACTGTGTGAAGCATAAAAAGGGTTTCCAGCTTTGACTTGATAATGTTTCAATGTCACCAACAGGAGAGAATGGCAGTTATCATGACATCTCGTTCTACACGGACACCTCCAACCACACTGAGCAGGAGAAGCACCTTTTAAGTGAGTCTCTAAAAACTGCCATCTGCACATTAACCACAATCAGAGAATGGCACTGGGAATAGGCTTGTTATCTATGGTTAGTGTGTTCTCTGTCTGTTAAAGAGGTGTATTCCCAGCATGATATTCAAGCTGATGATCTTTGATTAGTAGTGTCACACTGGGGGGTTTGTGATATTGACCCCAAAAACCAATTAGTTGATTTTTTATGCTGTGTTTTTTTTGTACCTTGGCTGGTTAGGCCTGTCGTGGACAGCCGACTTCTGAAGCTTTTCATATTCTTAATATTCATAGTAGCGATATGAATATAGTATTGCAGTAGCGATTGAACAACTTTTCCAAGGGCATTTTTAACTTTTATAAGGGATTTTCTAACCATATTAGATGCATCGGTGTAAGAATTAGCACACAAAAGCATGTTAGCAGCCTTATGGTTAAACTGATAGCTGAAGAGCCACAATGCATTCGTAAAGTGTAGCATTTAATATGATGATATTTTATTGTAATAAATGGCAATGTCCCTTTTGTTCTATTATAGCGCCACCAAGTGGTGCATGTGTTCTTAGAGTGAGCCCATACATGTGTGTGTCAAATTTGGTGAAAATTTCTCATTTAGTTTTAGAGTTATAGACATTTATATGTATGAGAGCATGAAAAATTATTCATGGGTGACTTTGGATTTTTTTTGCCACTTACTATCAACATTATGACATTTGGGTATTAGCATATGGCTCCTTTAGGGTAACGTATTGATGACCCATGCGAGTTTCATAATGACACGTTCATGCGTTCATAAAATTCAACATTTTATTACAAAATTTTAAATGTCTGACGTCCAAAATAGCCCGTTATGGGAAAATTAGATATTAGTCAACTCAGCATTGTGTTAATTTCGTTAACGAAAACTAAACGAAAATATTTTCGTCAACGCACATTTTTCACCGAACGAAAACTAGACGAGACGAGACTAAAATCCCCACTAATAAACAATAACTGGGAGTAAATCAGAAATAATTTTCGTAGACTAATAAAGACGAGACGAAAATGCAGTTCGGTAAATAAAGACTGGGCTAAAATCTATGGACATTTTAGTTCACGAACAAAGACGAGACGAAAATTACATATTATTATATGATATGGTTTTGTCAAATCCTGTCTCCTCCTCCGCCTCCTCCTCGTCAGCTCTTCCGCCACACACCCACTTTCAAACCTGGAGCGGGCGGGCACAGTCAGAGTAGCCTACACAACACATGGAGCAGACAGGAGCTGGATTCACGGTGAGGCGGCGACAGGTTAAAAGTAAAACATGCTTTGCACGGGGCTCGGGAGAAAGAAGAGACGTGATATATGGACACATTTTGTTACAATGATAAACTAACTAATGATGGCTAACTTTCATAGCATTTAGTATCCAGGCTGGCTATGTTACGTTAGCTTCTTAGCACGTAGCGACCGTAGCCACTTGTTGATAGAATTGTATGTGAAGTTAAATTTATGCTAACTTAGATATGTTATACTGGCCGGGCAACTATAGTTTCAGTTAAATTTGATTAAAGCAGACAGACGCTTTAAAAAGATTAGTTAAAAAGATTTCATACGTTCTAGCAAGCTATGCCTTGTTTCACCTTAAATACTGTACCTTTATATACCATGTGAACTAGCTGGCAGGAAAGCACTTTTGTTGTATCAGTTATCAATCTAATAAGACCACTAATTATTGGACAAGTCATTCAGATGTTATAAGCAAAAATAGACATTTTTCATATCTCCGGACCAGTAGATGGCGCTGCTTCAATACGCAGCATGTTTGGTCTGAATGTGATAAAGCGATGCAGAGATACAGCCTTGCGTCTGTTTTTGCAAGTGCAATGTAAAATTCGTTTCTGCGGTATTCACGAATGATTTGACGAACTTCTAAGACAAGTTCGAAAAAGTACGTTTTTAAAATTTTCAAAATGGCAGAAAGATTTAAATGACGGAAAATGACATTACGTACGGTGCAATCGAATCGTATTGACCCAAGGAATCAGTGAGGAAAGGAATTTTTTTTCGTATGGTTCAAAAGAAATTATAGACATGAGTGACACTTTAGATAGTTGTTGGCGCTAGAGTGATTGAGTTAGAGACACTCCAAATTTGTTATGGTGACTGTCCCAGAAGTGGTTCTATGGGCTGCCATAGACTTCAATACGGAAGAAGAAGATAAATAGGACTCCCAACGATTTCAAGAGGTGCCTACCTCATTCAGTGCTTGGCCCCTAATAATATGACATGATAACAAAATAGGATGTTACCAAAGTATCAACAAAATTATTTTTTATACTGCAGAAGTGAAACAAAAATAGCTTTTAGATGTATTTATAATTGCATAAACATAATGCTATGAAATATACATAATGCAGATTTTTTATATATATTGTAATATGAAATATATTTTTAATGAAATACTTTGAGTCATTGATTTGTTCGAAAACACTGATTGATTCATGAACGAAAACGCCACTGTGTTCCTCAGAGATACACAACAGCTCCGATCTGGCTCAAAATAGAACAAAAATAGAGACAATATTGACAATTAAATGTCTAAAATGTAACACAATATTAACTTAATTTTTAAATAGTATTAACTATAACTTAACATCATATCGAAATTTAAGACAAAAACTCAAACTGAGGCTTGAATTTTGGGGTCCTTCTAAATGAATTGTAATCTACCTCACGCAGTGAAAGCATTGCAAAGTGAGTGAAATACTTGTTAATATCAGCCTCTACTTGGTTAAAACAACAAATGTGGTATTATTGTATACAATACATACTATGAATTATTATTGTACACACTTACTCAAATTCACTGAAAATGAAAGGGGCAAATTGGCTCCTGAACTCCAGCTTTCTTTAAACTCTTGAGTTTGTGCCATGTAATAAAGTCTTGTCTGTGTCTCTCAGACTTGCACAGGGTCATCGTGGTCCTGCTGCCTTTCAGCCTGGTGCTGCTAGTCTTTGGGGGCATCTTCGGTCTGGTGGCGTCTTTGGCTCAGAGCTTCTCTCTCCTCACCTGCATCGCTGCATATTTCCTCATCTGCAGTAAGTGTCATGAACAGCTACATTAGCCATCTACAGGTAGCAGCTGAAATGAAGTGAGGTCTCAGTGGAGTTTGTGTTGTTGTGTATAGGTCAGTGAGATATGTTTTTCGGGCCTCGGTCAATGCCACACATGGATATAAATCACAATGGAAAAGAAAGAAAACACACAATGTCAAGTGCTCCAGCTGAGTGCAGCTGTTAAGTGAACTAGACACACAGAGAGGGTTTAAATAGATTTTAGCTTAATAATAAATATTATACAAAGCTTGCAGTAATGAATAGAAAAAAATATTGAAAATATGTGGTTGATGTGTGATTTATCCTTTTCAAAATCAAATTATGTTCCAGGGACACATATATGTGAAACCGAATTTTACCGAATATTTATGGTTCAGCACGTATATGTAACAAATGAATGCAGAGTTGTTTTAAACACTGTACGCAGCAAAAACTCCAGAGTTAAATTAACTTAATTTGGCTCCAGACTAAAGAGTATTAAAGTGTTATGAGTGTCAAATGAACCCTGAAGCAGTGTTACAATTATTAAGTGATTAATTGAGTGATGATTGATAATTATTGATGAACACCAGCTGATAACAAGCAGAATCACTTAAGGAGAAAATTACACATTTTGCCAGCATTTGCTTTAGTTGGTCTCTTGACTCTTAACATTTTAAAATTAGATTTAGTCTGTCTGCTGTAACTGAGTTATAACAGCCAGATGAACAAAGAGAAATCAGTGTATGAATCTCAACAATGGTGACAAACAGCATATTCAGAAACATTTTTGATTTTTCTCCCTCAGTGATTCTGTTTTTTATCATCAGGTGTCTTCAACAATGGCCAATTATCACTCAAATAATCACTTTATTATTTCATTAACTTTTCACTGCTTAAGTGTTCATTTAACATCATACTTTAACACTCTTAAGTATGGAGCCAAATTAACTCCCAAGAGATTATATTTAACACTGGAGTTTTTTGCTGTGCTTGCTGAACTTCAGTTTGTGCAGAACATAATTGAATCTTCAGAATTTACGCTGTAGGATGGGACAACACTGTCGATATACTTTGATGTGAGAAAAGTACTCATGAGACGTGCTTTATATGCCTCATACTAACTCTTGAGCCTATATGCATATCTTTATATGACAATGAAGTATGTTTTCGAAACGTTTTCCTTTGCATTTTCACATATGTCAAAAAAAAAAGTCAATCCCTGTTCACATGGATCAGCAGAAACTAAAAACTACTCGTGCCAGGCCAGTTGGTAGATGCCACTTTGAAACACCATGCGCCAACACCTAAAGCGCATGACGTCATCTTATCGTGAAAACGTCACAAATTTGCTTTTCTGCAGTTAATATGGAGATAATAACGGAAACACTTTGAAATCTGTTTTCAGAAGTGTGCATTTTCAGGGCCCCAAAATGAATGACCAAAACGCATATACAAACAGGCCCCTTTGAAGTAAAATAAAGGTAAATAAAGTATTGTAACCCATACTTGAAATGTGTCCTCTGCATTTAACCCATCCAAGTTACTGCACACACACACTGAATAGTTGAACCAGGTGTGTTTGATTAGGAAGAACATCTGGACAGATAGTAAAACAGTACAAGCATCATACATTTTTCAACTTTGTTAAGCCTTTGTTTCACACTGTAGGATGTATAATAGTCCTTTAAAACTGTTGCTTGTCAGACTCTATGGCGCTGTAAGCCATGTCACACTGTAGGATATCAGCTGTCATTAATGTCAGATGTGTGTTTGTTGTTGCCTCATTAATTGTAATCGGGTTCTACGCTCCTATTGGTTTTCGATTTTATGGTTGTTGTGGGATAAGTTATAGAGCTGTCTCTCAAAACCTCTGACACTGCCAGAATTTAGTTGGAGGAACATGTCTGCGAACATTACAAACTAGCAATCAAGGACTTCAGATTTTGGCCTAGGACCAGAGGAATACTTTAGGATTCACAAAACTTGTCTCAGACGGCCAAATTGTGGCCAGAATCGTACAGTGTGAATCCGGCTTAAATGGTTCCAGAGAAAAACTGGACATCATAAACGTTAACAACTGAGGATCCTCACACTACTAGAGTCATTTTGAATCTGAACACAACAAACTCCAGACTGATCTCATGAAGTAGCGTGTGTATGCCACGCCAATTCGTATTTCCATTTTTGGCGTGCTATCAAGACGCATAATCGCCTTTCAGCGTGTTTATGAACGCCGTTGACTTAACGTTATATAAATATATGACTTACCTCAACCCCGTCCCTAAACCTAACCGTCACTGGGGTTAATGGCATTTATGACTGTTCCCTTACCATCCTAGGTAAAAAAAAGATATGACTTACCTCAACCCCATCCCTAAACTTAACCGTCACTGGGGTTAATGGCATTTATGACTGGAGATTTGACTGCGTGTACAGAATGACGCGGACGTTAATGGCGTAGACATACACGCATACACGCGGATAGCTCAAAATGCGTAGAGATAACACGCCACCTGACTCGAAAGTGGCGTGTATGTTTATGCAAAAGTCATGATGTCATGTTGCACACAAAAACACTCTCTTTGCAAGAGATTCATGAAAATTTAAGCCGTATGTATTCTAAATGCATCAGACTGTGCATCAGCTCAAAATATCACACGTTTGAAAGTGCTTACATCTGTAATTACTAGATTTTATAGAAGAGTTCTACATTTAATGCTCCTGTGTCTCTAACGGTTTTAAAATATAATAAGAACAACATGATTTGATTATATCTTGAATGACATTATTAATTCACACCCTCATTCCACTGTCACAGCATCACAATAACATAAATCAGGATTGACTCTGTATGTGTGCTAGTTATTTCAAATTAGTTGTTGTACAGCACATTTTAATTTAATTACAATGTGGGAATTACATCTACAGGGTTTTTTACATCTTCAGTAGATTACAGTGCCTGTCCTCAATGTTATTATTATTGGCTTTGTTTGTTATGATAGGATGTGATGATGGTGGTGTGTAGTTTGGACTCTTTTGAGGCACTAACAGGTGCTTGTGTTCAAGCCTGAGCACAACAGATGACTAAAGTGCAGGTGAATTAAGGGGGGGATGGAGCAGAGGAAATGGCTGGGATCTGCAAAGCTTGAAACACTGAGGTCACCACATAGTGTTATTTGTGTTCTGTTTTCAGTCCTGTTAGACGGGGATCCTGAGATAAAAATATATATCACTAATCTTCCCCAGAACAATGTGACAAAAGGGTATATGCATGTGAACTTTGCACAGCTGTCTATTTAGTCAGCTTTTATTATTGAGGTAAATTGTTGCTGTAATTGTGCCATTGGGAACTGAAAACTGCACACGATTGATGGATTGGAGTAAAACAGCTGAAAGATTGAAGTCTCATAGGAATTTACTGAGTTATCCCTTCTATAAATAAATTACTTTTCTTCACAAAAACAATGGGTATGAGGATCCCTCTGGAATATGAAGACATGACAGAGAAGAAGGTGGTGATGGTGTTTCCATCTGCTCTTGCCTCATAAACATTTGCTGTTCTCCAACTCTCACAAAACATATAGCCGCATGTCTCCTTTCACGACACTGGTGAATCATGCTGCAAAAGCAGCACCTAATCAAATACATCTCAAGGCCATTTCTAATGTTTGGAATTCCTGCATTGATAAATTAACCCAGGAGTGCATCATAAGAAATTGTGTATATTTCATTTCATTCTCTCTCCTGACACACAGTCAGTATGTAACACTGTGAGTGCTGCTTAAAACATATCCTCATGGTTTTAACGCTTATCTTAAAATCACACAGATGCACCCTTGTGGAAAAAAGTTAGCATAATTTTATTTAATTAATTTAATAAAAGTATATATATATATATATATATATATATATATTTTTTTTTTTAAACTGTACTTGCAGATAATTGTCATGGTGCAGGTAAGAAAGAATCTTAATTGCAGCAGATTTACTTTTATTTTTAAAACAAAAGCAAAGACAGCTATTCAAAACGTTATAGACTCAGCGTGGCAGTTTCACTAATGCGAAGACAATAGTGGATATTGAGTGGGACGAAGGACCAATGAGGAGGTGCTGGAGGAAGGAGCCAGGGAAAGCCAACTGAGGGCGGAGCCAAACCCAGAGCAAAGCCATTTGGACGAAGGTCCATGACAGAACCGCCTGACCCACTGAGGTGGAGCCGGGTCGTGACAAAGATAATGACCTGGGGTGACAACGCAGGCTAGGAGGGCCGATCTGGAGCTGTAGGCTTGCGGGACTGAGGAGGAGAAGAGGACATGTAAGACCAGGTCAGAGTCGGTGGGACTGGGAGATCCAGAGGGATGGAGGAGACCGGTGGAGACAGAGGGGTGTTGGTGTAGTGTTGTGGATGTTGAAGTGTAGCTGGAGACTCTAGAGCAACAATTGACCAAGGTGGATTCAGAGGGACGAGGGAGCCTGGAAGAGCCGATGGGTCTGAGGGCAAAGTAGAGGCACGTGGTGGATCTAAGGGATAAACATACCTGGGCAGAACTGGAGACCTGGAGACCTCGGCTGGCTTAGCCTAAGGTCTGCAGGGGTTTTGGGTCTTTGGCGGGTATAGGCACTGGTGGCTTTGGGTCCTTGGCAAGTGTGAATAGGTTTGTGAAAAGTCACCAGAACAAGGTTTGATTACGACAGGACTGGCAGCATTTGGAAAAGCCCTCTCCAAAAACAGGTCTTTAAGGTGCCTTCGCTCTAGGAGACCTAGTGTCTGAGCTCAAGGAACATTAGGAATGTACAGTTGCAATGAACAAATCAATAAAAGTTATTGAAATAGCTGAACTCAACAAATGTTTCAAGTGGTTTCCCCAAATTCAACTGAAATGTATTATTAAGAGTCTACATGCTCAATGAATCTTTTGCTTTTTGCATTTGCTTTGTGTTTGCCCTTTATACACAGCCTTTAAGTACTAAAATCAGTGTAGAAAATTGCCTTTTATTTCTATATTATGACAGTTTTAATCCTACTAACATTGTAAAAGTTTTGCAGGAAACATTTTATGCTCCCTGTTTTTTTCTCTCATTTCTGTCTGTCAACTGTCACTCTCTCTGACATGCACGTAAGCAAACCCCTATCTTGAAAAAACAATGCATCATTGTTCAGAATATCTGACATGGCAATGTGTAGAAAAACAGCTAGACGACTGAAACATTTTGTTTAATTACAGAGCAGCAGGAACACATCTCCTCTGTTCTTCCAGTCTATTATGAGTGACTGTGAAAGGTCAGGGCTTGTCTGAACTTCATGTAAGTGGGGTAATTACAGTAATAATGACTGAGTTCATGACAGTTCCCTCAAACATGTTGTAACGACTAAGACCAATCAGACACAATTATTTTTTTATGGTTAACAAAGAATATTTAGAACACATTCTGGGATCTGTGGTTCCCCCAACTAGGACCAGAAGGTCTGGGTGACTACGATCAGATAGGTTGGTGGTATTGCTGTTAAAGAATTTGGAAGAAAGAGAGGCCATAACAGACTTTTGCTGCATTAATTTCTGGATGAGAAATCCATTTTTCAACAACTTAAAGAATTGTCCCCACCCTACAAAGCTATGCAAGATGTCAATTTAAACGAGGTGGTCTAGTTCTTTTCATTGTTGAATGGATCTTTCCCATAGTTTCCCATTTCCTGCTTCTGATTCTATCCTTTCACTCACCCTTTTACCCATGTATGTATGTTTGTTTAGTTTAGTTACGTCTGTGATTTAATTAATAGAACTTGTGCACAATATGTATTTGGTCCTGATTTAATGCTTGCAAACAAAGTTTTCTTTACGATCTTGTTACATGCTCCACGTACATGCTAAGATGGAAGATACCCTTTTCTTAGAATAAATTAATAATCAAAAGAGTTCATTGGACGAACTCATTAATTGATTGTAATATTAATTTAGCTACATCAAGTTAATCCAATTAACTGACCCAAATATTCATAATTAATCATTACAAGTTATTGATTATTAATATTTCATAGAGCTAATTTTTTACGATGGTCTTCTCTCCTTTCCTATTAATATTCTTACCTAGCTGGTCTCATATTCTGTGCTTGTGCACTGCTTATTTTTGACTCCATGTACTTAACCCAGTCAGTATTGTGTGAGACCTGTGTTCATGACTGTTACTTGAACTGATGGAAACCATGATGGGTTTTCATGGATGGTGTTCCCAATGCACCAGTTTTTATTAATCATCAATGTTGATCAAAATGTCCAGTCAGTAATCCATAAATACCCGACCCTATAGAGTGCTGAAGTGATGACGTCACTTTGTAGGACAACTCGGAAGTTAGCGGCGCATGGGTTCCCTCGATCGGAAAGCTATGCATTTTCCCCATAGACTTTTGAAAAATCGCAAAAAAGAAGATCTGTGTTCAACAAAAGAGTTGTGACCCTTACACGTTTTGTCTATCAAGGTATTAATCCAAAATGTATACATTTTGAAGCCTATATAAAGTTTTTAAAAAACACAAGCAGACATAATAAAGTTTAAAAAACCACAAGGAAGTTATAACTGTGTGTTCTATGTCATAGATCAAAACATGAAAATATTTAGACTTTGTTCACCACAGACCTTATTTCAGGCGATTTAGCAAAAACCCATTCAAAAATCCCATAGGCTTTAGAGCGAGGGAACCGGGAGTGCTAAAATGCTAACTCACTTCCGCGTTTTGGCCTACAGATTGACGTCGTAACTTCGGCACTCTATTCTGTTTTTGCCAGGTTGTTTGTTTTGAGAGCTGAAGTCTGTTGAGAATGGAGTGTAATGACGGCTCTTTGTACACAGGTCTGTTGACGGTGTCTGGTGTGAGCATCTATATCAGTTACTCTCAGCAGGCTTTGGAAGAGCTGCAGCACATGGTGGATGTGGAGTCACTGGCTCACGTCCACATGTCCTTCGGCTGGTCTCTGGCCATGGCCTGTCTGTCCTTCTGCCTGGAGATGCTCGCGGGGATCCTGCTCTCGCTAGCGGCCCGTCTCGTCCGCCGGCAGTGTCACCACGAGCCTGCGGCAGTGTTCTTCATGAGCCAGAGTTCACCACAGCTTCTGAGACTGCAGTGATGACGATGGTGATGTGGTCTACATTCAGATCATGATCAGGGAATGAGTTTGTGCTCTGTCAAAGTTGAAATGGAGAGTGTCGGCTGGCAAACGAGACAGCTGCATCAATTATTGAAGGAGAGGCTCACTCAAGGACTGCGAAATCTGTGAGCATCACTCGACTGTGTCCGTGCAATCACATATTTTCCTCAAGGCTTCTGGAAACTTGTTTTCCTACACATTTTTACAGTATAGTTTTTTTTTCTCCAAAAACAGAATAATAACTCATAGTGGTATGTCTGTTCAGCAATGAAATGTTTTGGTTAATGTTCCTATAATATAAAATTGAAAATATATATTACTGGTTAATCAAATTAAGACATTTATTTGTTCATTACCAACAATAGCTGGAGTAAACATATTAAATAACAAAAAGTAAACTAGTGTTTAAAAGTTTGGGGTCAGTTTGATGACAGCACAACTGTTTTCAACATTGATAATAATACTGTATGTTTCTTGAGCATCAAATCATCATATTAGAATGATTTCTGAAGGATCATGTCATACTGAGATTTAATACATTAAATTGTAGTTGTTTCTTCATAGAAATCGTTCTGTGGTAAAACTTAGTAACCAACATTTCATGAATCGTCATTGTGAAGTACCATAATAAACATGACTTAAGCCCATCATTTTACCCCGCAAGTTATTTCATCCTTTAACAACATGTATGGAGTTGTGTTTAATGATCTATACTGTCTGATCATTACCATACAAACGTTGTCCACAAAGATACTTTGCAATGCATATATCAATTTTAAATGAAGCTAGTTATAATTATGTTTCCATTTGTTGTAATTGTATGTATCTCCCTAAGGCTTATATTGATTAAATATCCAAGATGCACCATGTGTTTTCAATTAAAATATCAATTTGTCAGTAATTAACCAATGTGAATGATCAATTTATAAAACTTGTCATAGGAACAGACTGTGCTGTTTTCTTGAGCACAAAAGAGTACATTTTCATTCCAATTTAAAGAAGGAAAGTCTTCTCAGAAGATTAGAATTTAGTCCAGAGTGTAATATCCTGCAGGGAAATGCGTCTGTGTAATGATATAAAATTGCGACTGGGTGGTTGTAAATTTCGAATTGCTGCTGTGGAGTCTAAAATAGCTACATTCAAGACACCGTTAAACGTGAAACCCATGCTCTTAAATGCAAAGGTGGAAAGTCCAGGGGTCAGAAAGTAAAAGTCCTGCCATATTTTTATTCCACCCACAGCAAAAACTACAATGAAATAAAACTAAATTAACTTGGGCAGTTGACCTTTGAATATGTAATTTAAGATTTTGTTTGGTTGTTGTAATTGAATTTTAATAGCCTATTTTAGAAAAGATGATCAGATGTTGTTTGGTTATGTTTTCACATAATCATCATTTGACCTGAATCACTAATCTCATATAGAATCTAATCTTTGACTTTAATGTGTAACGATCATATTTTTCAATATAAACCAAATTATATCTTAAAAGTTGTTCTGTTGAAAAAAAATCTTTCTTTTAGGCACACACATATCAATATTCAGTGTATGAATCTCAACAATGGTGACAAAAGAATATTCCATCAGGAAAAGGAATTTACTAAGACATTTCAGATCATAATTTATTCATACCGCAATGCATGATGGGAGCCATGAATGAGTTCTGGGTGGCACCCAGAATGCACTGCAACATGCAGTGCACAACTTTTCAACTACAAAGTACATGTCAACTAACTCACATTGGAGTATTATTCGAGTGTTGTAGATTTTCAGGTTAGGGTTGGGTGTTAGGGTTCAGGCTAGTCAAGTCAAGTCATCTTCATTAATATAGCGCTTTTAACAATGTCAATTTTTACTAAAGCGCCTATACACACTGTAAATTCTAACAAGTTCAGTTTACTTAAAAAAAGTTTGGAAACCGATTGCCTTATTTTTGCAAAGCAAACTTAAAGGGAAAACTGAAGTGAAGTTAATAATCAGTTAAAAGTAAAGAAAGCAAACACTTTTCAAGTAAATTAAGTCATAAATATCAAGTTAGTTTAATGTAAAGTTCTAGTGAACATACTCAATGATATTTACTAATACTACTTAAGATTTAATAGTAAGATCACTTGAGTAATTCCATTTAACTAACAGTGTTATAATGTGTTCTGCAAACATCTTAAATACTATTATTCTCAACATGGTTTTAATCTACCATTTTAAGCTATGGAGACTTAAAAAAATATGTGCAATCGGTTTCCACATTTTCTTCAAGTAAAGTGAACATATTTTTAGTAGTTCACTTAGCATGGAACACACTTAACACAAGTATGAAATTCTCAACTGTTTATTTTTTTGTAAAAAACATGTTTTTACAGATTAAGAACATCACAATAAAAATATACTTTAACATCTGTGTTCTCTTGAACTCTTAGCAGCATTCTGCTTCCAAAACAGGCACTGTATGCAAAAAAAAAAAAAAAAAAAAAAAAACAGCAGCAAAAATAACATAAAAAAGGCCTTTGCAACCCAGAAGTAAATACCTTTTTCTTTTACCATGCCACATGTGGCTTACTAACCTTAACTTATTTGAACTATAGTGGCCACTTGAAATTAATATAAATGAATATCCCAGTATGCCTACATCTCAAAGGGATAGTTCACCCCAAAATGAAAACTCTGTCAGTAATAACTTACCCTCATGTTGTTCCAACCCCGTATGACTTTCGTTCATCTTCACAACACAAATTAAGATATTTTTATTAAATCTGTGAGCTGTCTCACTCCTTCATTGCCTTCTAAAGGATTGAAACTTACTAGCCCTGAAAAGTTACTATAGAAATTGTTAAAATTCCAAGTATCTACTGTGGCTCAATCTCAAGTTAATCAAGCGACGAGAATACTTTTTGTGCGCAAACAAACAAAAATAACGACTTTATTCAACTATTCATTTTCATATTCAAATATTCATTCGAGTCAGTTCACGTAGTGTAACAACGCAGCGCTTCTGTTGTACGTCAGCGCATCACACACATGACCAGCCTTAACCAATAGTGAGCCTGTGTGTGATGTACACTAGAAGCTTTGTGCAGTTACACTATGTGAACTGACTTGAGGCCCACAGAAAAGGAAATGAATAGTTGAATAAAGTTGTTATTTTTGTTTAATTTTTGCACACAAAAAGTATTCTCATCACTTGATAAACTTGAGATTGAGCCACAGTAGTACTTGAACTATTTTAAACATTTTTATTTATTCCGTGCCTGAAAGTTTCAATCCCTTAGAACCCAATGGAGTAGTGATCCAGCTCTACGATTTAATCAAAAATATCTTAATTTGTATCCCGAAGATGAAAAAAAAAGTCGTACGGGGTTGAACAACATGAGGGTGACTGATTACTGCCAGAATTTTCATTTTGGGGTGAACTATCTCCTTAAACAGTTAAGGAGACAAAAACAGATAAACAGAGTCTCCTTAAGCTTGGGCATCGAATGAAGAAAGTAAGGAGACACAAGTTTAGATTACAAGCTGATTTTTAAGGGTTTGCAGTTTTGGTTTGAGATTCTTCCCTCCCAAAGACAGAAATACCCGCTGAATGAAATCAAATGTGTTCCTCATTGTCTTTGGGTAGTCTAAATTTAGAGCATAGATCAAGGCAAAAAGAAGACATACAGCATGTGGCAAATTTGGGACATCATCCACGACAACCGTTCCCTCCAAAACGATTGCTCTCATTGCGTCCACGTTGAGGGCATTTGGACTTTTGGCAGGCATGTCTTCAGGTAGAATTGTGAGCAGGCCAACATCTACTTCCCTGAAGTCTGCGTCTACATCCACATCCTAAGTAGAGAAGGAATAATCAGAATTATTTCACAAGAGACACATTTACTAATCGCAAAACTACAAAAAGTATACCCAGAAATATTATTTTGCCTAACATGAGCTATACTCTCATGGAATAAAACAAAATAGTAATTTAAGAAAGCAGAAACATCAATTTTATTACTTACAAAGCACATCCTGAAAAATTCCTCTGGGTCATCCCCCAAAAGGACTGGAAGTCCCTTAAGTACTGCAGTGCGAACAACTGTTACATCAGATGGCTAAGAAAAAGTAGACAGGTAGACACATTATTGGCCGAGGTTATCAATCATATGCAAATCATGATTCAAATACAGAATCATAAAAGAATTACCTTTGAATTAACTTGTTGCAAAATTTCATCAAGTATTCTGCCCTGGTTTCCTCCCTTTTTTCGGAAAATTTCAAACAAGCGTACAGAGTGCGTGTCCAACGCTGCGTAGAACTGAGATCTCAGATTTTTCCCAGATATGCGATTGAATTCTGCAAAGATCTAAGCACAAACATAGTGGTTGTTAACATTAAAACACACAATTCATAAAAAACACAGGGTTTTGTAGAGGAAAAGAAAACAAACCTGGCTTTCTGTGAAAAGTGCTGGCCACTTCTTCAGAATCTCACAAACAGGAGGTTCAGAGTGGACGATTTCTTTCCGTCTCAAAGCAAACGTGCTGTTCATCTTCTTGCCAATCAGGCTCACGTTTGGGGGCCTCTTTTTCATTTCTTCTACAAGTTCTATCCTTGTGCATTCTTGACTTTCTTCATCTTCCCCATTAGGAAAGTTTGGCAAGAAATTTAATTCAAATCGCCTGGGTTTTTTAAAGGCTGACTTTGTTGCCATCGTTGCACCTCTCTTTTCACCAACTGCAACATCACTACAGCCACATTTACGCAGTTTTGTTCTATAGTTGGCCATTTTAAATTTCAGGCTGTTTTTCCAGCCAGCTGAGCCTGTTGGAGAGCCCTGTTCAGTCAAACAGGGATGTGCTTTGATCAGAGCTGTAGCAACTTGGGCGAAATCTTCATCTCTTGGATATGCCTTAAAGGTGTACATGGCCCCAGCAAGTGCTTCCAGTATGTCATGTTTAATGTCTCTTCCAACATCAAGAGTTGTTCCATCCTTCATAAAAGCAAGGTTTCCCTGACGGAGACGGTATTCAACATTAACAGAAAATTTGGGTATTTCAAATTCCTCAGGCCATTCAAGCTGCCGTTCTGCAGGTAACTGCTCTGATGTATCAGAACCTGAGAGAATTGTAGTGCTAGCTTGACTTGAGGAGGGAGATGTTTGTTGAGGAATTATCTTCAGTGTTGCCCTCTCTGGCAAATCATTAATGTCACTGACATTACATAATGCATTATCAAAGTCAGGGTCTTCAAATTGGACACTGAACGTGTAGGTGAGCTGCAGCTTCTCTTGCAACACATGTTTCAAAGCATCAACATCAGCTGGTTTTTCAGGAATGGTTACTTTTCTAATGTCACTGTCGTGCACGATAACTCGGAGTAACATTGGCATGGTTACGTGAAATTCTAAAATGGAAAAAAAAAGAGAAGTAGTAAAAAAAAAAACCATGCCATAATACAAAGGATGTCATTTAGCAGCAGATGTAATACTTCAATGTGACATAGAATTTGCCTTTGAGATTATAAGCTGCCAAAGGGAAGGGGTCATTTAGTTCAGATGGCAGAACAACTTCCAGTGAATGTAAACTGCACAATTCATAAGAGCGCAAATGCTCAATGTACCATGCAGTCTGAGGTTTGCACAGGAAAATTATGTCAGTGTTGATTGTCAAGATTT